CATATCTTTCTCTAACATACTACTCACGTACTTAGAAAATCGCTTTACTTGGTTTTTATAACAGTACCCTATCGAGAATAAAATGAAGCATGAAATATAACCAAATTTGCAGTACCTCTATCTAGGGCTGAGGAGACTTGAACAATTCTTATTGCACACACATATGACTATCATATTAAAGTCAGCCATGTACCGCATTCATGTCGATTGGCCGGGCTGATAAATACCCACTGAGGAAATATTTCATTCCTATATGCTTAATAAATTCCTAAGGACTTTCCTTTACTTAGGTCACATACATATTTTTGCATCGAAAAATAATAATATTTTACTTCTATTACCCCTCCTACTCCTATTACTACTACTACTACTACTACTAATAATAATAATAATAATAGTAATAATAATAGTTATTGATGTAGATAATCAATGACGAGATCAAAAAAGAGAAATAAAAAAATATCTTACTTTTTTCAAATTATTCTTATTTCTGTGAAATCGGAGAAATACCATCAATTTCTAAATTACTTTGGCACCAGAAATTATAGAAAGTTCTTCATATGAAGAATATATTGAGAACCCTTGGGAAACACTATAATCTGTTGTAACCCTAGGTTTGCTAGGAGAAGTTCGAAGAGTGTTGATTATGAATATCTCTGAAGGTAAGTCCCAATGTAGATATAGACACTGGGGTGCGAAACTTATCAGAGTTACAGCTGATAGTACACTTATAACTACAAGATTTTGAGGTAAAAAATATATATATATATATATATATATATATATATATATATATATATATATATAATCAATAATCGTTCCGAAGTAACACAGCCAATTACACTGGAGAAACCACACCGCACTCAAACAGCCACCAACCAACCCAAACAAACAAATACACACACACACACACACACACGTGCGCACCCACACAGATATACATAGGCCACAAAACTCTTTGACTATGTCACTATACTCACTAGTTCTACGGAACTCACCATTCGTCTCTACCTAACTGATGCTGACTTAAGAAAGTCGAAAGCTTGGACCATATTTCTTCAGAAATAAAGTTTGTACAATTTTTGACGTAATTTCCTACTTATTCGAGAATGATTATTCATAAATTGTAAAAGTCGATTAATAAAATTTATCGACACTGAGTTTATTATTATTATTGGAATATTTTTATATCTTATACAGCAAAACATCCAAAATTACCTCATGTGGATATAGCCGGCGCAACTTGATTATATTAAATTATTGTATTGTATTGTATTTAATATAATACAATACAATAAACAATGCAAACTATTAAATCAAAGGAACGAACGAGTGTTAAAATGTAGACATAGAAGTATGTTTATACATTTATATAAGAACATAGATCTTAACGTATTACTTGCTACACATCCAATGTTAATATATAATAATAATTAACTTCTATAATCTCCCTCTAAACTCCATATTAATCTTGTCTTATAACAGTCATCTAATTGATGTACCCCGACTTTTTGATTTACTTTTTACTTTATTATTGTTTCTCTTAAACAATTTTGGTTATAGCTTGGTCTTTCTAATGATTTAACTGATTTTTACATGGATAATTTATTCTAACTTTAAATTGTTTTATCATTAAATACCCCATTACTTAAAACCATTAAATCTATTCTTTATTTATATTAATTGTTTAAATAAAAATTATGGTTAATCCTATTAAACCATACTTGTTGTTGGTTTAATTTGGTATTCCCTAGCGGGAACCTAAATTTCTTTTATATATAATTAAAGGCTTTGATCTCTCATTTCGGCCCCTCTATTTAGTTTCAATTCAACAACTCACGCTTCATATAACCCCAAACTAAGATGAGGAATTATCTCTCTAAAGGGTGAATGGTCGATTCCAGCGACCTCTTTCCCTTTACAGAGATGACTCACGCCTTCCAACTTATCAGCAACTCAGTCTCTTTATCTAGAGGAGGTGTCATTTTTAGTAGGTTTGATTTTTTTTCGCGACTGCTATCTAAATTAAATTCCAAATCCCAGATTTTCGAGACGAATTCAGTCCATATATATAAAGATATTACACAGAAAATCGTTTACAAATCGCTACACATTTGTATTCGTGTTTCAAGGCGTATCATTGCATCTGGCGAATGAACGATTTATTTAGATTTAAAAGCTAAATAAAACATCTTTTTCGAGAAAAATGAAAGGAAATTGTGGTTATAAGTTTTGTGGACTTTACTCTGATCAAACAATTAAATATGACCTACGTTAAATTTAAACTAACCGAAGAAGCAAAAATTAAAAATTATTTTTTTTATAAATGCGTCATGGCTCGTAGATTGGCTGCTAACAGCAGCCAGACATGAACTTAAAATAATGAGATATATTGATATGCAATGAAACAAGACGTCAATTTTGTATCGATTTTTACGTTTCCGGTGTAATATCATAAAATAAATAATATTGTTCAACTCTGTATTGAGTTCAATATTACTAACCCTAATTCTACTCTATTCGTTTTCATCGTATATATATATATATATATATATATATATATATATATATATATATATATATATATATAATGGATTGATGCATGTAATTTAAATCTGGGGTATTTATTACTCGAAATGTTACTAAAATTGATACTTCGTATTTGAAATAGATGTCATTTGAACAGTACGCATTTTTATTTATTAAATAATATGCCGCATAAATCATTTGCTTTGCTAAGATTTTTCGAATGTGCAGGCCGATACACATAACATTCATTGTTTGATTAATAACAATGAAGCCTTTATATAAAACACGAAGAATCGACTTTAAAACATTTACGTATATATATATATATATATATATATATATATATATATATATATATATATATATATATCGCCCTCTGTGCGTGTGTATACACCCCCATAAAAATGATTTCTGAAAGTAAAACGAATAAAAATATCACTGTTTTCATATCAGCTGATCCAAACTGTTATTGGCAAGTGTGCAAACGTTGTTTTTTAGAATATCAATCTCTTCCAATGGTTCAACAATAACTCTGGAAATTTACCAAAAATGGCTTCTCTCTCTCTCAGGCTAAATGCAGGGTCATTCTAATATTAATCTATGCGCCTGTAATTATGACAACAAAAAAAAACAAAAAAAAAAAAACATAAAATAAAGTTTGAATCGCTGATTCTTAACTTTTCCCAAATGCCGCTTTTAAGATATTCGCATGGGCTGCTGCCCTGTTAAAATGGCAGTGTTAAATGGAGCGTAGTTAATGTATCGGAGTTAATGTGACGTGTCTACTTTTTGTTGCGTTAAAAGAGCGCTAATCATCAGAAATAAGCATTGACGGAAGCATCCATTGCGACGGCCAGCATTCCCGGCCATAGAACCTGTTGGATTATAGTTTGAGTTTTTTGCTCCTTACATCTTGCAATTGAATTTCTGTGTGTAAATGACCTATAAACGGCAGTGTTTAAAAATTTAAAAATCAAGATATATCGGAAAAAAAAGAAAATTCGTGCCTAATCTGCAGGTTTTATACTGTTAAGTCGTTTTTATCCTCTCTTAAGTTCATAGCCTCATAAAATTCTTTGAATATTTATTGTTCCTTTGAAAGTTGATAATGTCAGCAAGAGACCATTACTACCAAGTTAAAAAAATAATAAATATTGTGATATTCAAAGGAACACAGAGCCGGTCTATATCATTGCAATATTGTTGTCTGTAAGAAACATGAGAATAATAAAAGACCTTTGAGGAGACTTGCTGGAAGTCTGTAATGATAACGACCTTGTGTGAAAGGAAAACGCCCCAAATAATTTATTAGAGAAATAAAATCGCTTCCAACTGCAACTTATTAAAACTGCACCAGGAATAATGTGAATAAATCGGAATAGAAGTAAACCAAAGAAAATTACAAATGGCTATTCTGTGGAGACGGTACCAAATCTTAACTCAAATCATCAATAAATCGGGCAAGTGAATCGAGACTTTAAAAGGCCACCAGTATAATACGTAATTGACATTCATTTCTTTCAGCTATCTTGGCCTTTATCTTCCGTTTCATTAAGGTATTCGTATATCACCTATAAACTATCATCTAAGAAGAAGAAAAAATAGAAGAAGAAAAAATTAAATTGTGCCAGGTTTCGGTGGAATTCATGAATTCTTGTTCAAAAGATCATTCCCATTGGTGAAAAACTAGCCCAGTAATTATACAAATATCTGATGGATAAAATAATTCACGAGATGATCCTGATAAAATAAGTAAATAAATAAAACAGTGTGGCTTTAAAAATGTATAATATTTTCGCAAAATCCTCAGAGGACAATTTGAGGTAGAAGTGATAATCCCCACCCACCAGGGAGGAAAAGAGTGGATTTCGAAAAGAAGCCATAGAAAAAAAAATGGTTACTTATTATTCAGAAATCAAAATATCCCGAATGTAGTGAAAAGAAAAAAAAATAGTTTAAGCACGGAGACGCTCTGAAAAACTCCGAGAGCTATATCATAAATTCAGTTATTTTAAAATCAAATATACATTTGCTATATACCTGTTTGTCATATATAAACTTTTCATATATATCTAAAATACGTGTACACCTATCTAACCATGTAATATGTATTTAGCACTTTCATAATGTCGTCCCTTCAGATCGTTAGAGAACAGGATTCTCCAAAGATTTCTTGTCTATATTGCCAAATATTCTGCAAAGTGAATTCCCAAAAACTGGAGTAGTTTCCTGTTGATTTCTTCGTCGCTTAGAATTTCAGAATTTTCTTTGTCTTAGACTGAATGCCACCGAAGCTAAAGGACCCAGTCTATACTGCTATTTAACAAGCGGGGAGTAACGGATTCACATCAAAGAACGGTAGAATAAGTATTACGGAGACAATGAAGCTAAAAACGAACAGGAATTACTTAGAGCTACAAATAACAGAAAATGGTAGCGAGCTATGATCGTTTACGTGCTAAAAGGATATGTCACAAAGATGACAAGATAGATAGATAGATAGATAGATAGATAGATAGATAGATAATGAGAGAGAGTGAGAAATAGTCTGGATGTTAAATTGTATCTGAAGAAGGAGCGTTTTGCAGAGAGATTTCGTAAATTTACTTTTCGAACTAGAAAGTAAGCTGCATAATTTTATTGGCAGATTTATCTCTATCAACTATTGGTACAAGATGAACCATTACTACTTGTCACATTGTATGGTAATCAGAGACTAAATCAGTTCCCCCTCTAGGTTTTTCTGTGAAGAGGGTGGCTTAACAACCAGAAGGATTACAAACAAGATCAGTAAGACAGCTAGAATTTATTTTAAGGTCAATGGCCGTCGAGTGCAATTGGGGTTAATCTTGGCTCCATAGCAATGTATCCAGTCAACTTAGTGGTGTCACGTCATCGCCGGGTGGAAGGCTTTCAAGACTGAAGTCAACGGTCACTGTACAGGGTCCAGCCGATATAATCAACGTCCACGTTTTTGTAACCAATACGAGCCATCGAGACGAAGGACATCGGCTATGGATTAACCTTGTGAAGGAGGAGAATCGTCGGCTCTGCCAGACCAAGACATACTACGCATGAGAGGATTACCAACCGGGTTTATGGAGAGGTAACTGATCAGTTGGACAGCAGCGAAGCGACCGTAGGACCACCCCCGGCTATGGGACTGATGGTGATCAAGAGGAGGAAGACGACGACGACGACAACGACGACGACGATGATGATGACGATGATGATGGTTATCATAATGATGACGATGATGATGGTTATCATGATGATGATGATGATGATGATGATGATAGCAATAATAATGCTGCTGCTGATGATGATGATGAGGATGACATTTAGAGAATCCCAAGTAAACATCAATCGTCCCATATTTAACGCCGACTTTAACTTTTCCCCTAAATCAAAAAGATAAAATAATTTCATTCTTTCATACTTAACTACGTAATAAGGGAACTGCCGGAAACAGTTCAAATAGTATGTGCAAAGTGATTGGAGGTTTCAAAAAGACGGATTTCTTTAAACACCAGAAGTATTTAAGATTGGAAGGAGATCGAAGATCATAAAGTAAATTTGTAGAGAACTGCAGTCGCCCGATCCACACCGATGTCCACAGATATCTTCTAGCAAAAAGTTAAAAATAACATATAATGATAGCAGCAATAATTATATGATTACTGAAAGAAATGAAGCTATTATTTCTATCAGGACGAAGAGACATGTTAATAAATCTATTGAAACAAGACACATACAAAAATAGATATTTGTAGTCGACAGAATCAGACAAATAATGCCTCAAAGTAAAACACAGAAAGCTGCAACAGACATAGAAAAATCTAACAAAGTATATAGACAAAACTGGTAAACACAGGAAAGACCCGAAGAAGAAGAAAAAAATAGATTATGAAACAATTAAGTAAACTGTTATGTCTCATTTTTTTTTTTGGTAACGAGCAGACGTCTTCGACGAATATGAAGAAATTCAGACGGAGATGAGATCGAAAAAGAAAAGTGCTTATAAAATATGCGGAAAAAGGAAGTGAGTGCAACTGTACGAAAAAGAAAAAAAAAACATCTCAATATGAAAAGAAGGAGAATAAGTGGAATTGAGGAAGAAAGAAAATTGATTCTGAATTATGTTGGGGAAAGAGGCGGGTAAAGAGATTGAAAGAAGATTCTGCGAAATAGGTTGGAAATTATCCTAGATTATGAGGGAAAACATCGGCGAAAGAGAGTGAACAAATAATGAAATGAAAATGAAAGAAAACAAATTCACAAGAGAAGGAATGAATTGTAAATGATAACAGTTAAAAAAAAGAAGGTTGAAATACATAAAACCAAGCAGGAGGGCGTCGGAAGATGAGGAAATTAAACCTCAAAACAAGTGACAATGAAAAAATAACTCAAATAAGCAATAAGTAAATAATAACGATTTTGTCTGGCACTGTGACCTAGTAAGAAAATCTTGGTTAATGTCAATAAATGATATATATATATATATATATATATATATATATATATATATATATATATATATATATATATATATATATATATATATATATATATATATATATAGGAATGGTAAAAGCAAATCAAAATATAACGCAAAATACGATAAAGCATGATTGGCTTATAATATAGAAAGTTATTTAGGAAAATAGTAAATCCGAAAGACTTGGGCTTTATTTATGTGCATTGACAGTTTGGGACATGAGCAAACAATATTCTTAACAGCTATGTGCCCCTGTTTAGTTTTTAGTAATATTTGAGTATTTCACATATTTTAACGACGCTACTCTGTTAGCCATTTATATAAATTAGTAAGGAATGTTATTTGATGGTTTTCTCTGCAAATATTCTCTCCATTTTGTATTGTATGTTTAAGATTCCCCTTTCATATTTTTTTCGAGACGTATTATCAGCCTTTTATCCTCATCTTTCTTCAAACCTCTTAGAAAAATATACCTACCGGTGTTTGAGTCTTCATCTGCCATATCCTGCATCGATACAGTTCCTCTATCAGATAAAACTTACTGCCCTATCATGTTGGAAGACGGGTTCTTGTACGGTCATATCTTAGAAATATATACTTACCAGTGTTTGAGTCTTAATTTGATATATCGTGCATCGATACAGTTCCTCTATCAAATAAAAATTACTGCTCTATCACGTTGGAAGACGGATTCTCGTACGAACACCTTCGAATCTGAACAAATCCTAGATAGGTGACCGCTTAAGAATACCAGCTGCTGTAAGCAGAGTTTTGCATGTAGTATAATGCATAACGGTTCAGAATTCAAAATCGAAGAACAGAGGTCTAATTCAAGTTAGGATTGTTATCCGCAAATTCCCTTGGGAAATATATGAATTCATCGCTTCCAATCCCTAGCTATAGGTTAATTAGTAGGATTTTATCCGTACATCATTACTTTCTCCAAAATATCCTTAAAATCTAAAAGTATTTCCTGGTTTAATTCACCATTAAATCGTTGATAAGCTTTAGAAAACTAAACAATCGAATCAAATCTATTAGATCGAAGCTGAGTCAAAGCATAGACGATTACTTGTCGACGTCGAGAGAATATCCCTATTGATGTCGGCATATTCTGTAGCGACCTCAGAGAGAATGTAATAAACATTTTATTCAATAAACACTATTTGATGGTGTTGTTTGATGATATCTATGACATTATTGTACCACATTACAGAACCAAATTTTGTTGTAAGAATGTTTACTAAAATATTCATTACTTTCTTATCGTAATTAAGATATCTGCGTATATGTGGGTTCGTCAGAGCTAACCTTTTTCTTTCCAAAGTGCCTTATCTCATGATATGCCCTTGACTTTGGATGCTCAGAGTTTCTCCATAAAATCGAGTAACTTTTGAATTCTGGAATAGCTTACATTACGAACAAAAATTCCGTTTCAACGTTAAGTGAATATTTATTTAGTTTTTCGGAAATTTTGAGGCTTCGACATCACTAGGTTCGTTTTTAATTAACCTTGTCAACGAACGTTTTCTCATTTGCATATATATTAATATATATTCTATTTCTTCTCGTGTTTTTCATATACTTTTCTCTGCTTAAGTCTCCAGATATCGTCGTCTACCATCAGTGTTAATTCAGCCCAATCATTCTGGGTTCTGGTACATTGATAAAAGCACGATACTAAACAATGTTAACTATGAAATTAAGGTATATAATTATCATATCTAGTTGACCTAAAAAAATTGCACGCAATACATATATATATATATATATATATATATATATATATATATGAAAAAATAAAAATGATTTAATGAATGATATATATATATATATATATATATATATATATATATATATATGGGATAAAACGTGCTCAAAATTAGGGATAGAGAGTAGGTAAAGATAAAAGTGAACATTAAGTTCAATACCTACTGGCAACAAGATGTTCCGAGCTTAAACATAATTTTCAGGATACATATATATATATATATATATATATATATATATATATATATATATAATATAACTTAAATAAAATATCGAGAACGAATAACGTATGGGTGAATATATTCAAATATATTCAAATAAGTGAACATCATCGACACGCTTTTCATTTATATATATATATATATATATATATATATATATATATATATATATATATATATATATATATATATATATATATATATATATATATATAAAAAAAAAATATTTTTTATGTTTATACATTCTTATAGTTACAAATATTTAAGTAAATGCTATGTTTCAATAAACAGCATTAACGAGATTTACCGGCCTGAATGTCCGAGAAATTTTCATAGAAAATATGCGTCCTTCGAAAGGAATCGAACCTGTATCCTATACGGAACCATTATATAGCCTGACGGGCTTTTACCGATTTAAGGTTTAAAGTTTGAAGTTTAAAGGCAGTAAATTCGACTTTGCTACTCGAACGATTCTCTGCGGCTCGATCGGTTAAGAGCACATCCGGCTAAATGACGGTTACGTATATGATCGATGTTCGAATCCTGTCGGAGGATGAATATTTTCTGTGAAATTTTCTCGGACATTCAGGTCGGTAAATGTTGTTTAATACTTTTTATTATAAACAGATCATTTACTTAAATATGTGTATCTATAAAAAGAATGTATAAACATGTCCATTTCATAATATATATGTATATATATATATGCAGTATCTTCGAGTTTCCCTGACCTTTCTTCTCACCTTAACTCAAATTAAACTCCTCAGCCTGGTTTCATGAATATCTGTGAAATATTAAGAAAACCGTCAAAAACAAATATAGAAGATTTCGTACTTATAAAATTATATGAAAATATCGTAATGTAAAGAAATGAAAGATTAAGTGAGAAATATACTTCCAACGAAATTCTAAAAAAATAAAATTTAAAAAAGCAAGTAATTATAAAAGGATTAGAAAAGCCAGCATTAAAATTAAGAAATGTTGGAAGGAAAGAAACAAGGAAATGAAGAAAGAAAAAAACAAAGGTCGATGTCAACTAGAAAAGAACACACAACCATACACTCACGCTACCCCAATTCACACACACACACACACACACACACACACACACACATATATATATATATATATATTTCTGTACATATATATATATATATATATATATATATATATATATATATATATATATATATATATATATATGTGTGTGTGTGTGTGTGTGTGTCTGTGAGTGTGTACATTCTGTGAGTGTGTATATAGAAATGGATGTGGATCTAGAAGATAGGATTCACCAGAAATGCAACCTGAGAATCAATATAATGCGTAAAGAGAAACAGAAGGAAAAAGTTAAATATAAAAGAGGAAATAACATATTTGTTCATTTCTTTGCCCGCAAGGCTGGACTTTGAGGGACCGAACGAATCTGAACGATTTGAACTTTCCCAATACGAACAATGGGGACAGTAAGAGTAAAAAGGAATGTCAGGGAAAAAAACAAAGATTTTCCACTCGGGTTTCCCTCCTGATAAGGAAGCTATCTACACAAAATGACGTTTAGAAGAGAGTTCCAACAAAAGAATATTGTGACAAAAAGGAAATATGGCACAACGCCTTCGAGTCAAATCCGGCAGATATAAGCGACGACATTGCAATGGATTCTTGTAATGAGTTTTAGAAAAGGACTGACAGAAAAAAGTAATTGGGACTTTCCTAATAATGACAGGAAAAGAATTAGTTGGGAAGAAAATTAGTAAGCTCTCAAGAACTGGCGGCCATATTGAATTGTTATCAACTCCTGCTATATAGCAAGAGATTCTTAATAAAATCCAAAGAATAATCAGCAATGTTATTGGTCCGAACATGGCCTCTAATCTTCAGGCCCTATCCGACCACATTAATGTAGGTCCCTCCCCGGTGTAATTTCTATAAATACTTTCATGGCAATTGTTTGGATGAACTCTTCACTATGAATTTAAGTACAGTACTCGTGAGGCGGAAATGTCTTAACAATTCAGATGTAAAGAAACATGTTTGTTTATATATATATATATATATATATATATATATATATATATATATATATATATATCTTTTATTGGAAAATTATAACATAAATAAAAAAAGTCATTTTGTTCCAACACTTGATGTTGAATGTAGAATAAAGAGTTTCCAACATCATCACTTTATAAGACACCAGAAGTGTTGAAACAAAATTATTTTTGTAGAGATTTTATAAGATATTTATGTTATAATTTTCGAATAAATAATGCTATTTGCTCTACTCTGTATTGAGCATTCTTTTAAGAATAGTATTTGTTGGTTATCGGAATTTATTCCGTATACGTTCTGTTTAAATGTTATTTTATAGATACAATTTATTTTAATAAATGACCCGTTTGTAGTTAAACAGAATTTATTACCATTTGCGGCCTTAATGTTCGAGAAATTTCAGATAAAATATGCGTTCTCCGACAAGAATCGAACTTGCATTCTTATAAGGAAACCGTCATTTGATTCAACTTGCTATACCGTTTAGCTACAGAAAAGCGTCTGCTCAGCAAAGTCAAAATTACAGTTTTTAAACGCACAATCTTCGACGATATTACTCGATAAAAATAACATATAAACAAATTTTTGGAGTTAATCCATTTCGTAATATATATATATATATATATATATATATATATATATATATACTTATATATTTAAAAATATGATTCCATCGCTACATAAGTGTTCTCATGTTTCAAAACCAGAGCCGAAAACTTCAATATAATTATTTGATTTAAATTGAATTAAAGTACCATGCTCTGTTCATTTTCAAGCGGAATTTTTTTTTGTAATAACTAATACCTGAAATTTACGCGTTTTATAAGCATATTCATTATTAAAATTAAAATTACTATGGTAACGGGTAGAGCAATTATTTAAAAAAAAAGGGGGCGTAGGGGTTAATAATTTGTATCAATATCTCAGTTACATTCAAAGAGGTCAAGTCAGGGTACGGTTAGGGTGTCTAAATTTAAGTCAGAAGATGACATCGTCTAGTCTGGTTAAGTGACTATGGGGATTTAATTATTTTTTATTTTATTTTTTCTTCTGAAATGGTTTTATGTATATAAAAAAAAAACTGTCATAATTCGCTAACTTTTGTTTTTTTGACGACTTCATAAAGGGTTTTCTTTTTTTATTGGGTAGGGCATTTAAACTTATTATTTATACTATGGAATTTAAAATTTGTATTTATTATCTTATTGTTTGTTTGTTTTTTATGCTAATTATTCAATGCGAAAATTTGATGATGTCGGCAAAAAACCGTTAACTCATGTCTATTGTTTAATATTTTTTTTATTTATATATATATATCTGATGCAATGAGAACGAAAATAATATATATAAATTCTAACGTTCACAGCATTATTTCAAATGAGGGTTCAATATCGCAATATCGATAGTACCAAATTAGGACACAAATTCTTAAATCTAATTAACAAACACTTTCCTACGAAGAGTAAATTAAGTCAAATCTTCAATCGCAATACCTTACAAATTTGTTATAACTTCTAAGAACCTAGATAAAAGATTAAATCACACACCAATAGAATACTGAAACTTCATAACGATAATAAACGATAAAATTCTAATATACCCCAAGTAAAAGAGCTACATAAGTGTAGAATCGCCAATCAATGTGCATTATCAAACGAAATCCATTGTATATATGTGCTATATCTCATCAAATGAGAATCCCAGTGATATTAAGATGTATATGGGATCAACTAGACCTTTTAAGGATCGATTACAATCACATATACTCTTTGACAAATGCAAGCAAACGCAATATGAAATCACTTTCGAAATATTTTTTGGGAACTGAGGGAGGAAGAAAAAATACCTAAGGTTAAATGGAAAATCTTAAAACAAGCCAGAACGTGAAAATCTTTGAACAAACCTTTTTTTTATGTTTGAGGGGGGGGGATCTACGTATTATCGAACTTTTGAATAACACTCAATTACTAAATCAAAGACATGTAACCACCCTTTTGGTAGACATATTAAGTATCAGACATTGCAATCTTGCGAAATTCTCATCTCCTTTGATGTACTTCCTACCCGCTTATATACCTCTCCACTAATTTATCTTAGATTATGATTCCTAAAATGTCTTTTGCGCATACATATATATATATATATATATATATATATATATATATATATATATATATATATTACTAGTAATATTTTCAGATAAATTGTTTTAAAACAATACTTATTTTACACGTTATACTGTCCGACTATAGGTCAAAATTAGATTATAAAAGTTATATTAATATCCCATATTTTTATATATTTTTCTACTTATACCTTAATTTCTAAATTAAATTTTTTTTTTTCCTTTTTTAACCCGAATAACTTATATATATTCAAAATACCAAGAAGAAATCATCACTTCTAAATTTATTAATTTGCAAAACACTTTCCAGAATTAGTAGTGATAACTCCAACCTAAATATATCCAATTCAGTCAGGTTTAGCGTGTTTTTTTTTAATAACCAAAAAAATAAAAAAAATAAAAAATCCCAATTACTACTATAACTATCGTTAGAATTCCCCCCTTCTACATCTTTCATCGTATTACTATCTCCTATTCCCATCTTCCCTCCATCACCCCTCTGCTTAAAATTTTGACCATTGTTATCGAAAGGAATTTTCCCAGTCTGGTCATCATTTAACACCTCACACATCCTTAACCAAACTGCTATCAACAAGCAATATTGTTTCACTACGTCATCTTTTTGATTTATGTATATTGTTTTCTCAAACAAAAGGCAACAAGGGGGAGACGTTTCACGTACAGCTTGTTTGCAAGTAGAATTGTTCATAACGATTTCTGGTTCTCACCAGTCGAAGAGAGAGAGAGAGAGAGAGAGAGAGAGAAAGAGAGAGAGAGAGAAAGAGAGAGAGAGAGAGATGCTGTATCAACAATATTTTTCCGTATAAACATATGTCCGTGAAGCCTTCATTTTTCTTGTTATTAAGTTTAAAGAAATCTTACGATAGATGGTGTTATGTTGCCATTTAGACTAGTTTAAATTTGTCATTCATGTATATTTGTCGCTAATCTGTCATCAACGTTTAACGTGTATAGTTTTGAGTTAACTGTGAAGTGTCCCGTTTAACACTGTTAGAATATCCATAAATTATGCAGATATTATTTTACATAATGGTATTGGACGCGAGGTTGCACGATTGCATCAGATTATATTCCCAGACCGAAGGCAGTGGAGTCACCCAACCATTGCCGCCGTTTATCGCCGCGTTGCCAAGACAAGATCCATGGCATCACTAGCCATGTTTTGTGGAAGACCGACATCCACTCGTACATCTTACCACGAAGAATACATTCTAAAGGCTGTCGGGGACGATACGTCAAGTGGCCCTAGCATGTCTCATAGTACCGCATGGATGTTGCTTCAAGATCAGATCCTGTATCCGCATCATTTGCAACGAGTGCAGGTTCTTTCGCTCACTCACCACGGGAGAACCTTTGCCGATCGTTTATAACAGAACATGCCGAACCGTTTATCTCTCCAATCTTTTTCATGAATGATACAAAATTTGGAAGAGATCGAATAAATAGTTTCTACAACCAGTGTTTGTGGTCGGATCGGAACCCCCATTGTTCAAAACAGGCGAAACACCAGAATCATTTTATTATTAATATGTGTTCTGTATTTGTAGGTGTCTGTTTGGTAGTTCAATATGTTCTCCCCGCAATGTCTAAAGGGATTTTATTTCGAACACACTTCCAGACAGGCTAGTAAGAAGACGCCAGTGTTTCATACATGATGGCGTTCTAGCAAATCTTAGTCACATTATTCGCTATGCACAGGCTGGCATCTACAATGAAAGATGGATAGGGTATGTTTGTTCTATGGCCTGAACGTTCTCCCGACATCAGTCCTTTAGATTTTTATCTGTGGGGGTCACCTAAAACAATTGGTTTATGCAGCAGACATTAATAATGCAGAGACGCTTCATCAACATCTCATTGTGCGCCTGCGAAACTATTCGACACCGTGTGGCCGTTATTGAAAGGGTCCATCAATCATTGATTCGACGGGTTCATGCGTGTGTAGAAGAAAGCAGAGGACATTTCGAATATTTGTTATGAGTTGCTGTGTTGATGTACAACGATGTCCCTGGACATATGTTTATATGGATATTTCACCTTGTTTGTGTGTCAGGAAGCCCCTCCCAAAATTTATAAACTATTTTGGGATTGTGCCTTGTATTGATTTTGTAAGCGAGGCTTAGATGTGGCACATGACCGAAAGTATGGGACACCCAGTGTGGATCGAACTCACTACTCAGTTGTAACAGTTTTAGCAAGACCAGCTTGCTAGCCATTATACCACGCTGAGGCGCCCACATTGAGCATTGTATTGTACATTTAACAACGTCTACCGTAAACTTTAAAGTCAATAACTCAAAAATACACATATAAGCATAATTAAGTTATATATATATATATATATATATATATATATATATATATATATATATATATATATATATATATATATATATGTGTGTGTGTGTGTGTACTAGAAATATGTGTGTGCAGTGTTTGTGTGTATAATCAGAGCAAATGAATGAAAAAAGGGAAACACTTCTATGTAACGATTTTCATCATTTGAAACAGCTTCTTGATATGAAATATTAAGGGAATCTAAGAAGGAAATGACACCATATTCAGTAAAGACACAACGACGTTTTCTATAGTTTTCACATAATCAAACTTAAGAACTCTTCATTTTTGCCAGCGAATAAAAACGACCTGCATACCGCCTTCGTATTAATTTCTACAGCTGGGTCAACCCACATTGTCAACAGCTTTCATGACATCTTTCTTAAGAAAATATTGTTTGTGTCGTCCACAACTTATTTGAGTTACACGCTGCGTTTATTTAATCAACAGTTTTTATTTTCGTCTACCGGCCTGAATATTTGGGAAACCTTTACAAGAAACAAAAAAAAAAGAAACCAAAAAAAAACAAAAACCAAAAAAAAACAAAAACCAAAAAAAAAACAAAAAACCAAAAAAAACTGCCCTCCGTCATGATTCGAACTTAAGAGAAACTCTTATTAGATATTACATGCTTTTCCTCTCGGTTCCGGTCCGCATCAATGACCAATCAAAATCTGACCAGTGCCTATAAATACAGATTTTTCTCCGATTCTCATAATAAATATATCTGCGCAGGTTCGTATATTAACGTAAATAAAGCAGGATCCATTAAAATAACGTTTATGTAATAAAAATATGTCGGAATAATAAACGGAGTCGGTGAAAAATCTGTGTTTAACGGCATTTCAAGGCGGTAAATTTACTAGTTAATTTCTATTCGGTTTGTAACAAAAATAATATTTTGAACAAGTATTTTATTTTTATATTGAAATTTAGAGCTCTTTGTGACGTTCTAACCTTTTGCTGATTCGGATGGGAATCTGGTTAGATTCGGTATCAGCCTTGTTCCCAGCTCGCCTCCAACGTCTGGTTACCGAAGTAACTGTTTTGATTTCTAGTCTAACCTACCCACGTTGTGATTTGATCTTAGGTAGACGAAATCAATCAGTCGCCGGGCCATAATGCAAGCTGAGTCCGGACAACGGTAATATTGCACAAGTATGTAAAAGAAAATAAAGTAATCACTTCAAACGTGTTAAAAAGGATAACAATATTTTATATCTAGTTGCTGAATACAGGACTGCTTCTTTTCTCCCAAACCGCTATATGGATTCGTGAAACTTTGTGTTTGTTAGGCGAGTCTTAACATCTTAAGTTGTTTGTTCTTTAAGAAACTGATTCTTGGTGTATCTTCAGGCGATATTCGTAAAACTTGTTTTGGTGGTGTGAGTCTAAGTCGTTCTTCAAAAATAAATTGTTCTTCGTTAGAAGTTGAGGTCGTGATTTGCGTGGAATCTTTCAGTCGGATTCCTGCGAGGTGGGTGCAACTCCAACTGCGAACTTCACTGCGAACTTCGAACTTAACTCAACTGCTTTTCACTCGCTGCGACTCTGCTTATATGGACGCCGACTAAAACCGTAGTGGGCTTGTCGGGGTTTGAGGTTCCTTGATAATTCTAAATCCACAATCCACTTCTTTGTTTTCGGTCAGGAAAATTTATTATTTTCCATTTTTGGAAGTCTTTCGTCCTCCCACCTTCTTCTGTTCTCATATTGGTATCTCACCCTAACCTCAGGGGGTGTCAACGGGTTTCCCTTCTCTCTCTCACAGTGGCATCTCATACCGATCCCTTCAAGGGGTGTCAACAGGCCTCCCCTCCTACTTAACATGATTACCTTCACCTAACGCTCAAGCCAGCATTCAGCCAATGGGCGCCCAGCAGTGTGGGTGTGGCCAGACTAGCCTCGGTTTAAAAAATCTTTCTCAAAGGAAAAAAAAATTATCTTCCTTTTTTCTTTTCTTTTCTTTCTCTTTCTTCTTCTCGACAACAAGTGCTTAGACTCGTAGTGTGGTCTCTTAATCTCAATTTTATCTGAATGTCACCTGGAATTCGTCACTCGTGGGTAACCATCCGGCGAGATCCACATTCTGGCGTTAATTATTCGTTCTGATAAAATAATTTTCCTATCGTGGCCAGCTTCGACATAAAACAAATGTCTTTTCAAAACGACATCTTCGTAGATAGCGAATGGTCAATCTTTTGTTTTTGTAATTCTGCGGTTGGTCCAACAGACATTTTTCTGCTCCCCAGTTAATTTTTATCTTTTTAGAATTCTGTTTCGCAGGCGACTTTACCAACCTGGAATTTATCATTATCGTTGTCATGGCAGACTGCTGTCGTTTATTCGGTGATCGTCATAAATCAAATTAAATTCTGTGTTTTACTTTCTCGACAATGGAAATAGAATCTTACCACTTTTCCTTGTCAGAAAAATAACACGCTTAGTGTCCTGTTCGTGATCGCTTCTTATCACCTAAATTTAATTCTCGCCTTCTTTCTTCTTTCTTTCTAGCAACCTAAATAGTGTCACATCTTAAATTTTGACACTTGATAGCATATTATACACGCTTATGAGAACAATAACAGAGACATAAAATAACTTATGAATGTAACACTTTAATTACTATGAATTTTAATTACTATTATTGCAAAATTTAATACTATAGATTATTTTTTCAATTTCTAAAAAATATTTGGTGATTGGACTTGCTACGAAATAGCTTCTTGGTGTATAAACATTTTCTATCCTAAGCATAAAACCCATAACTTACTTATGCGAAAATCTTGTTATTGTAGTGGGTTGGTAAATATACTTGTATCTATTTGCATATGTACAGTAGAAGAGCAATAAATTGAAGTAAGTGGCAGGCGGAAGTTGACTATTGTTCACGTGTTGTGTAACAATTTAGTACAACGAAAAGGTGTCGCTGATAGGATGTTTAATCCCTTGGGTGAACCAGAATTGATCAATGCATGGATCCGGTGTTTTAAATCCAAGGATAGGGCTAGAAAGTAAAAGCATTTTTTAATATAAAGATACTATACATCGTTATTACCAAGGTTACTGCTTAGTTATAAAATTATATAATGCCCACCTGTATTAATGGGAAGACAAATAAGATTTCCATTAACTAGACTAATGGAAAGATATTGTATGGGAAAGTCAGTAGTATTTCCTGAGAGAGCTAATTCCATCCTAAAAAGGGGACATTACACGGCCATTATATCAAAGAAAGTAAAAAGCCTATCCTGACCAATTAAGACTCAGAATTGAAGAAGAAACAAATGTGATGGAAGTTCTTGACGGAGAAGAAACAACGACTTCTTCAGATCTGAACAATGCAATAGAAGACGAACCTAGGAATAATAGCGGTAGTGACTCCGACCCGGAGAAGATGAGATAAAGTCAAGCTCTTCATTAAAAACAACCCGACATGAACCTTAAGGGGGAGAGGAGGAAAGAGTTTGTAGAAGTTTTTAGAACAAACAAAGGCATTAAAGCTCTTCAGTTCAAGGAGGTGTAGTAGATTGGTAAATAGTCCTGTACTTATGCAAATATGTTAACTAGAAGAGAAATAAAGTTTATAGTAAAATAAGAGCAACTCAATACAACAGTTATTTTTATTGTGCGCGGTATCATTTTGCCAGATAGTAATTTTATGTGCCTACATACCAAGTCCCCTCTAGGCTATATGAGTAAAAAAAGGCAATAGAGAAGAGTTATCTATGCTAGGTATATATTTAGGACATTTCGTTTTGAGGGAGAGGGTTTTGTTTATGAAAAGTTCCGTTCGTACAAAGTAAGATTTTGTTGCTTTGCTTACATGATTTTCGTTACCCTCCTTTATCACAGACAATTTCCTTATCAAAACTGGGAGAATCATATTTTTAAGTTTATACATTTTTGTTACTTAGATTTTCAGATCCTTTTATAATTTGACAGTTTTTTTGTAAGTCTTCTTCTTTAATTATTATTATTATCTTTATTTTATTTCCTTTGATTTCTGACGTGTACTCGTTTCTTTCCAGTTCCCGCCCAGGGACCTAAGGTTAGAAATGGCATCATATTTTCCACTGAAAGAAAATATATAAGGTGTCGGCTGTACTCTGGAGAACAATTTTTTTTTTGTATTTCTTTGAGGCATGCGCTACCAGGAATCCCATCAATTAGTCTACTGGAATCTTTTCCAACCAATCCGAGGGCTCCAACTACAACAGGGATTGTTTATGTTCCCATGTGCCACATTTTTGAGATTTCGATTTCAAGGTCCTTGTATTTTGATAGGTTTTTGAAGATCTTCAAATATACACTGCAGTCTGCAGGGACTGCCATATCAATAAGGAGGCACATTTTTTGTGTGCGATTTCTAATAACAATGTCTGGGCGGTTAGCTTTGGTTGTTCTGTCTGTGTGTATTGCATAGTCCCATAAAATTGTAACAGGTCCTATCTCCGTAACATTAATTATGCGGTTGTCAAACTAATTTTAGGTCAGCATGCATGTTTAATTGATAAAGTTTCGTCTCTTTCTCTCCGAGATAATAATTTTATATTATTTAAATATCATTGCTTGAAATCGAAGACATTGTTATCGGCTAGAATTGCAGGTCTGGCAGAGATGTGCAAGGGGTTGACAGATAACTTTTTATATGGTGGGTCCAGAATAAGCTCGATCAACAAGAGCACGTTCCTCTTTTATATCGTCGTTAGTCCGTAATGGAATCGATACTGCTAAAATTTATCTCGTTTGCAAAATTAGCATAGAATACCGTATATGCGTTACATTTCGCGCCCAATAATAAATTATTTTATTTCCTGGCACAAAAAAATATGGATTATGGAAGTAAATCGTATTTTTCTACTGGAGTTTTCTTCTTCTGTTTAGAAATATTGAACCGGTTTGAGAGTTTGTCACTCTTCAAAGATTTTTATTTTCATGCTGTGGCCTTCTTGTATATCAGCGTCTACAAGAAGCCTTAACCTATTTTATTAATTTATATCTACCCGACCAGGTCTACCATGCGATGGGATTATTGATGTGGATTTAGATCTGAAGATTTTTATACCTTAAACTATAATAATCTTTGATTGGTGCATGTATCTTTTATTTACATGGTCGAACACATATCATTTGCACAGTTCTTAGTTAATCTTTCTTCCTAATCTGACAAACGTACATTGATATTTTATATGATTTACAGACACATTTCTTCATTAAAACAATACTAGAGGTCTGGATCCTATTTTATTTTGGTTATCAAACTAATGCTATCATTTATTATTATTTTTTGTAATATAATCACTAATTTTCTTTAAAAGTACTAATCAGGTGTTTACATTGCTATATAATTAACATAAAGTCTCCTTTTTTCCTTATTTTTCGTTTTCTTCTTTTTTCTAATTTTTTCTTCTGATTCTTCTCTTTATGTCTTATATGGCTTTTCTGCCCTTAGGATTGCTTATTTTTCTGAATATGCTTATTTTTTTAAATGATTCCTATTCTCCAACGGCGGTAAAAACCTACTGAAAACATCGATTGGCGTTCGATCACCGAAGCGTCCAGTCGGATCAGTACTTAGATAGAGGGACCGATTGAGAACACTGTTTATTGCAGGTAAACTCCTACAATCCGAAGTACTTGTTGGCTTTAAATAACCTATAAAGTGTTGATAAACCGTAAAGAACAGATCAATTTAATTCTCCCTCTCGGTTTCTTTGTTTTTTCTGTTTTATTTTATCCATCATCGCCTACTGCTCTTTAATCAGGAATCACATTTTTTCTTTTGTTTTTGTTGTTTATTGTTTGCTTCATTTCTTTACATATTACTATCTTCAAATTATTATTTGCATAATTGCTATCTCTTTCATTATTTTTCACCTGTGTCACCTACTATCCGATAAACAGCGTGTTTCCTATGCCCTGTCCGACACTTTTCCATCTAAAGTGAGAGAATGGGCAATAATGGAAAGCAAAGAATGGGCGGCTTAGCAACTTAGGCACTCACGGGACATATGGAATGTAAGAAGACAAGAGATAAAGTTTGACGATGAAAACGAGAAAAAAAAATCAGATAAATCAATAACCGGAAGCAAAGAAGACAAAAACTGAGAAAATCAAATAAAAAAAAGAAAGGAAAAGAAGACGAAAAAGAAAAACAGAAAACTGAGTGGAAGAGAAACGTGAAAATGAAAAAAAAAAAAAAAAAAATACATAAAAATAGAAATGGAGGAGTATCATATGACCGAAATAAACTTGCAATGCATCCTGTTCTTTTCAGGGATTGTTACAGTATTAAATGGTCTGTTCCGTTAATACAAACAATCAGTATTTATTTTGTGTTTGTGTCCGCCGTTAATGTTAAGGGTCCTGCATAATGAAAGCATTTTATTATGCAACAAATAGACATTTCTAAAAATGGAAACTAATCGTGATTTCAGGCTTTGAAAGTAATGTAAATTTACCCAACAAAGGAAGAGCGAGAAGAGTAAAGAAAAGACAGAGAAAAAACTCTTCAAAATAGATGAGGAATACAAAGAAGAAAATGAGCCAGGAGATTAAATTAAAATAAAATAAGAGCCAGAACGTGAGGAAAACGAAGATAAAGATGGCGCAGTAAAAAAGAAAAAAAAAGAAAGCGAAGAAGAAGAAATGACAGGTAAATAATAAACGAAGAAAATCAGAAAAAAAAAGAAAGGGTAATACGACGAAGAAAATAAAGAAACGTCAGATAAAACAAAAAAGCAAAGAAGAACCTCAAAGAAACAGTAATAACAAGACGAAGAAAAGAAAGAAACATGCAATAAAAAATGGCGACGAATAAGAAAAACGGAAGAGGCAGTAATAAGACGAAGAAGAAAACGATGATAAAGAAGAAATGGACAATAAAAAAAGGCAAAGCATAAAAATAGGGGAGAACAAAGGAAATAAAGAAACGGACGATAAACAAAAAAAGTCAAGGAATAATCAAAAAAGGAAGAAGCGATAATAAGAAGCGGTAATAAGAACTCTACGAAGAAAAAGAAAAAAACGGAAGATAATTGAAGGCGAATAAAACGGAGTAAGAGGAGAAGCAGTCATAAGAAAACGGAGAAAAAGAAGGAAAAACGGGAGATAACCAAAAAAGACGAAGGAAACAACAAAAAAGTGTAATCAGACGAATACAAGGAAGAAAAAGAAGATGAAGATAAATGAAAAGGAAGAAAGACGCGAATAAAACAGGAGAAACTAATAAGGAAAAGAAAAAGACGAAGAAATTGAACATAAAAAAAGCGAAGGAGAATAAAAAAGAAACAAGAACAAAAGGACGAAGAAAATAAGAAAAATAAAAAAGACATGGAAAAAAGACGAGAAAAATGAAGAAATGGAAAATACAAAAAGGCGGAGAATGAAAAAGAAGATGGAATAATGAGAAAACGAAGAAGAGAAAAAGAAGAAGAAACGGAAGATAAAAATCGACGAAGAACAAAAAAAAAGACAATAATAACGAGAAGAAAGCAAAGAAAAAGAAGGAAATCGAAAGAAAAATGTCGCTCTTTGAACTGACATTTTAACCCTCAAAATGAGAATTGCGCCACTGAGTTTTCCCCTTGGGTCAAAGCCGAGATGGATGTTTTATTCCTTGTAAGAGATTCAAGGTGAAACCACAATCTTCTTCCTATTTCACACAAACATGCCCTACCGCTATAGCCCACTATTTCCGACTATACCAGCGTGACAGCTCCTGTTGCAATCGAGGCTTATTCGTGTCGGCCTGGAGGAAATGTAAACGAGTAACTTTGTTTTCTGAGAAAATGAGGTTCTTGTGATTGCTGCGGTTCTGTTATATTGTATTAAATATGATAATGTTTTCTATTCCTCTTCTCTTCAATCAATTTCTGTTGTAACAACTTCTGCTGATAAGGATGACTGTACATTCTCTTTAATCTCTGCTCTTGACTCATCTGGGGTACTCTTGCCTCACGTCCCACTTAGAAATGGATCTCTGTTGAATGATATGCATATAACACTTTCTATAGGTTCTGCTATCATCTCTAATCTGGATCCCCACAATGCATGTGGACTCGATGGTATCCCTGTATTACCGTACTCGAGAATTGGCTCCTTTTCTCTCTAAACTGTATAATAAAGGACTCACTGCCTACTGCTTTGCTGCCTGCTGGAAATCCTCAACTGTTATTCAAGTTTTTAAGAACTCTAGTGAACTGCCCAACCCTTCCAACTATCGGTCTAGTAGCCTTCTTCCTCTTTTAGAGAAATTTCTAGAGGCCCCAATCACTGTTGAATTGGTTAAACATCTCACATCGCGGGACCATTTTTTCTGACAAAGAAATATGGTTTCGTTTCTCCAGGTCAATTGCCGATGTGCTGAGGATAATTGCGGAAAACGTTTATCAAGCTCTTGATAAGAATATTGAAGCTCGTGTTATAGAGACTGACATCTCGAAAGCTTTTGACAGGGTTTGTCATACAGGTCATTTTCAGATCTTAAAAAGTTACGGTATCTCCGAACACGTTTTTGAATTGACCCTCTCTTTTTTATCAATTCGCGAAATGAAATTTATCCAGAACGGCCACATTTCTAGAACTTTCAGTAATAATGCAGAGCTTCATACTTGGTTCTAATCTGTTTTTGATTTTCATGAATGACCTTCCCGATGACATCAGCTCTCAACGTGGTATCTATGGTGATGACACAGCTATTTACTCCTGTATTGGCAGTAAGTCTAATCTGTTCGAAGAGGTCACATTGGAGGCGGATGACAAAAACGACTTTCAGTCTGTGGTTTACTGGGGCAAATGATGGCTTTTAAATTTTAACACCTCCAAAACTAAGTTACTATCTATTGCTCATCTGAGAGACCCCTTTCTGCTATCCATGAGTAGTGTTCACGCTAAGTTCGGGCTAACGTTCTCAGCTGACGTGAAGTCGAAAAACTAAATTGAATTCATTGCTAGATCAGCTGCTAAGAAAGTTGGTTTGCTCTGTCGTGCGAGACAATCTTTCTCTACGGGATCCATCTTACACATCTATATATCTACCGTTCATCCATGCTTAGAACATTGTTGAAAATATGGTCCAATGCTCGTACTATATATATATATATATATATATATATATATATATATATATATATATATATATATATGTTGAAGCTTGGATAAGCAAGGAATAATAATAATACAACACAAAATGTACGTAAACAAAATGTATTGAAACAAGGAAAAGGTACACAATATTTACAGTCAGTTTTGGAATATTCTTGGGAAGACGGTTCCTGCAGAATGGGTTGACTTAATCGCAGTCGGGCAGAGTCTCTCGATTCGATCTCTTCTTCCTTCTTCCGTCTTCCGGTACCAACCCATATTTATATCGGTCGGTACTCCACTATGTAAATTAGGTGGATCGTACCACAACAATATATATGCATGTATGTCTATATATATATATATATATATATATATATATATATATATATATATATATATTTACAAATACGGGTGAGGTCTTCGTTACGGTAGCTAGACTATGTGAATTTAAGCACAGTACTATACCGGCGACGAGGTTTCACTAATTTGCAGTTGAGTTGGTTATATGTATCCGTAAGTTCTACGCTTTTCTCGCATTTCCGGCTCCATGCGCTCCAGCCAATTTTAATGTTCAAAAAATTAAATCTAATGTCAATCACTATCTACTATCCTGATCATTCTTATTTGTTCCATCAGCCTTAGAATTGTTTCTGTTTTCTAATTATTCACCCAGGAACGCACTTTTGTCTTCGTAGATTTACTGTCTTTCTTAGGGTGAAATTGATTTTTTTTAAAGACAAAGATGAAGAAAAAGAAAAAAAAAGAACCGGAAAATAGAAACCTAAAGTAAAAGGAGCAGTGGTTTGTTGTTTCTTTCATGTTTAAGATTCAATTTCACGTTTACTTCTAGTCTTCTCATTCTATTTCACTCCCAGTAGCCCTTCAAACTTAGTGGCATAATTGCCTTGATTGGGGCTAACTGATAAAAAAAAACAAAAAAAAAACAAAACAGGGAGACCATGAATGAGAAGTGAACTGAAATCTAGAAACAGAATCAGAACAGAAATTTATTGAGTTTAAAAAATAAATGAGAAAATTAACATCGATGTATATTTACTGAGTTAGCAGCAATATTGCTTTGTTATGTGAAAGATAATAATTTTCTTTATATACTGACATTTATTTTTAAAAATATTTTCATTATTATTATTATTATTATTATTATTATTATTTAAAGCGCACAATTTCGTCCGTGTTTAGAGTCACTAATTAAACATTTCCTTAGAAAAAAATTGTATTGGCTTAATTCTATAGATCAACTTATTACTATGATTCAAAATGGGTATTATTCAAAATCGGTGCTGTTTTCTTATCTCCCGCCTCTCGAAATAAAACGCGTTCTGCGTGTGTCCAAGTATTTCAGATCATTGGACAGGCGGGTGATCTTTCTTTCACAGGACTCCCCACAGCTTTTTTACAATCAGTGCCACTACAACCGACGTCGCCAGGTCTGTCGTCGCCATTGTAATTCTCAGCTCTGCTATTATTTTCATTCCATACACAGTTTGGTCTACTCGCGTTAGAAAAAGAACTGCCATATTTTCTCTTTTTTTTTTCTTTCCTTTTTTTTTTTAATGATCACTTGACTATAACCATGAGCTGCACACTTCTTCTCCTTCTTTGTGTTGTGGCCCTTCAGGACGTGCGAGTTCATGCCTCTTCAACATTTTCCTGTCCTTTATTGTTCTTTGTAAAGTTTGTATCTTTGCTATCTCTCCTAAACCCAGCAATGACAAACATTTACACAAACTCGTTGTGTAGGTTATGATTTGTTTTCCCGCTCTCTCTCTCTCTCTCTCTTGACTTCAATATATCCCTTGACTCTCTCTTATTAAGTCTCTTTCGTCATTGTTGTACCCTAAAAAAATTTCAATTGTCTCTTTCTTATTCTAAATATAAGTGTCCATTTTGATTCATTTTTCCCAAGAACTTTGTCAATCCTCACGTGATTAGTCCATGTAATATCCAATATGCTGCTGTAGAACATCATTTCTACTGCCGCAGGTTTCTTCCGCATTTGTGAGGAGATTGTCCAGCATTCGCTCCCTGTAAAGAAAGACTGATATTGCGTAACAGTTCAGGAGTTTTCTTTGTTTCTAACGTAATTTTCCTGTTTTTTATGCTTAGCTTTTAGGGGTATCTTTCGATATCCCAATACGCCTACTGATTTTGGTGTCGAATCTTTTGTCTTCTGTTAAAATACTTTTTAGATATTTATGTGTAATTGCTTGATTTTAGTGTCTCCAATTTTTAATTTTCATGTTGGGTTATTTATTCTGCTGGCAACAATCCATTATGTCTTCTTACAGTTCAGTCCTTTCTTCTCACTTTCCATTCCTACTTTCTTTAGGAATTCTCGTAGTTTCCTTTCTGTAGCTATTATCAACACTGTTTCATCGGCATATCTTATGTTGTTAATGTTTTAGCTGCCAATAATGAATCCTGGTAGGATTTCTAATTCTCTTAGGATTACTTCACTTTACAATTTGTATAATTAATGTGAGAAGACACATCATTGTCTTACTCTCCTTTATATTATTGTGTATTTACTGAATTCATTGTGTCTCCAGGTTATTTTCTAAATTATTCTAATACCTTTACGCGGAGAAAAAACGCTTACCTAGCACTTCTGCAAAGAAGAATACAAAACCACAGGAAGGCCTACACCACACTGCCCTCGGAACATGTATTTTCGTATATAAAATTAGCCTAAGAATTTCTGCGTTCGTATCTACTTATAAGGCGTCTCTTTTTATCTGATTATAAATTTCTCATGTTACTTAGCTTTTCGGCGCCGTCAAAATCGCCTTCATTGTTATTATTTTGAAAATATAGGGCGTCGATATCGCCACATCTACTTACCTGGCACAGGGCTCGTCCCTGGGCTGGTAGTATCACGGCTATGACTAGCTTAGACCAGCTCTGACAAGCTTGGACAAGCTATGACCAGCAAAGACCAGCTTGGGCCAGCGGCCCGAGTGAAAACATTCAGGACCCCACGTTAAAAACTGACCTTGTGTCACAACCTGACTCAGTGGGGGGGGGTCAATTAAATACACATCTACAATCTGGCTGTTTGGATCTAAGCTTCTCCTTTAAATGTTTGGTGTTGATAAAGAAATAATGCTCACACGTTTGCATGTTCACAAAAGGTGTTTGTTTTTTGTTGTCAGATCTCCAATGGGTGTAAGCTTACTCAATAGTGGAAAACACTTCATGCCATTTTAACCATTCACAGAAATATCTGTCTATATTTCTGAGATGAGGTATTATTTACATTATTCGGACTATTGTCCTCATCTTTGTCGCCATATTTATTACGACGTTTCGGCCGTTGCACGCTCGGCATTCTCCAGGTGAGCGAAATAAAGGGTTAAGTTCGACATTCCAACCACCTGAAGAAGGCCGGAGCGTACAACGGCCGAAACGTTGAAATAAATATGGCGACAAAGATGAGGACAATAGTCCGAATAATGTAAATAATTCACGGAAATATTGTTGATTCTTCTCCTAAACCTTTTACAAATATATTTAGAGCTTTTCCAAGTCGTCTAACAACGATGAATGCATAATTTGTCAGTTTTCTTACGAAGCCGAAAGATATCTACAGATTTTCAATTTATTTCATTGTATATCAGTGATCTCCTGGAACCGGAAAATCGAATATCCAACAAGTGCAATTTATATGTACAAATATATCCACAACTTTGATAAGGGTATACCACGCACATGCATCACAGCCAAATGAGGGCGATTTCGTGACAAATTTTCGTAAAAGCAACGCATAATCCTGCAGGTGTGTCCCAGCTAGAAAATTCTTCAGTTCGGGTAACCATGTCCGCTCAGAAGGTCTGCAATCGAGAGAGTTCCTAAATGCGATTGCCAAACTGCTTTGGTCAAGATCTCAAGCTTATAAAAAATAAACCTCTCGACATCCGGCCTCATGATCCTCGAATATTTCTACCCAGTAGAAATAATAATAATAATAATAATAATAATAATAATTATTATTATTATTATTATTATTATTATTATTATTATTATTATAACCAATAAATAATCGATCGTTTTTTTTTCGGTTTATAAACTCAATTTGCTTCCTTTTATACACCACTCCACCATGTTTCGCTTACCTTATCGTTCGCTCATAATTTCTTGACACTAGAGAACAACGGTATTGTCTCCGCCATGTAAAATGTCACTTCGAGTCAGACATGACTTTGGTGTGACCAGAATACTAATATTAGCGACTCGTCTCTCCCAAACCATACTGTGGCCGCCAATGCTCTTGCAGTTATTGTCACTGTTGCCGGCGTTGTAAAGAAGAATAGATGAATAGAAAATAGGTTTTGGGAGAAAATGGGGTTTCGCGACATAGGCAGTTGGTGCTGGGAGAGAAAGGGTGTCACCAAATGGAGAAAATTGGGCTCAGAACATTGTTACCAAATCGTCGCGTTAACAGACATGAACATGTGTAGAATGGATTATATGTGTGCATGACGTTGTCTTGAAAAGAGTATACAGGAAAAGTATGTGTGTGCTTATAGTTATTTGTCTGGACATGGTAGATTTTACAAGTACATGAATTTTATTTGTTATCAAGATTAACCGAGTTTGGTCATATTGTGCTTCGTTTAGAAAAAAAAAAAAAAAAAAAAACTAATCTAATCGGTGAGACTTAATCCCATCAGATTATCAAACATTTCGTTTGAAAATGTTATTTATTAGGTGCCAATTTATGCGATAAGTATCACAAAAGTGAAGACGTCGGTAGGGATTGAACTCGATACTGTTTGATTCAAATTCAGTTTAGACTGATGCAAAGTAACATAGGATGATTGTGTAGCGCAATTTGTACAATATATGTTTTCTTTAAACAAGGCAACGTGGCCCTCGTGCACAAACATCAAACACTGATTATTTATATTATCAACACATGGATTATTGTCCTAATATTTGTCTTTCTTATAACAAGGTTTCGGCTGTTGTGCTTGCCGATCCGGGTAGTACATAGGGAATTTCGAATTGAACCCTTAATTTGTGTCTTCGGGGCTGGATTATTATTGCCCCTGCTGTCCATGTCTTGTACCGCTAAGTTACTGCTCGGTATTTGCCCAGCCAAGGGAATGAATACTGCCACTAACGAACGGGGTTGTACTAAATAACAACTAGACGAGATGGCCTTAGAAAACGGATAGAGGAACGAGAACCATAGATTAAATAAAGATTTCAGTTCGACATTCCCTGTAGCTTACACAGACCAACAACTGCCTGAGGAAGGTCGGGGAACACAATGGCTTAATATTCTGATAGCAACAAAAAAAATGAGGAAAATAACCCGCATGTTAATAAAATAAACAATGATAATTCCTCCTTCAAGGGGTCCAGACAGAAATAAAGCACTGGTGCCAATAATGCATACATATATGAAGTTATCACTGCCACAGATCGGGCTTAAATAATGTATTTTTTTAAAATTAGACTCATCTGATTCTATATTACAGGAATGGACTGGCAAGTGAGACTTATTCTCATTTTATCTCAGATCTCCAAGACGAGTTCGATAAATAACGAGTTAGATTGGGAGACATTTTGAGCCCATATATCGTGATGTGAAGTCTTATCATTTAATTTGTGATGGGCGGCAATTGTGCAATCTACTGTAATGCCGTTATCGTTTTAAGGTTTGCTTTCGTTCGAGTGTTCAAATTAGCTTCGTGCGTTTAATTGAAAGGAAAAAATGAATTTACGAGCAATAATATTTGATAAACTCTGAATAAAAAGAGCAATCACAGCAATCAGACAGAAATTCAGGACAAAAATACATAGGAGATAAAATGTGAGCAAATATCAGTAAATATGTCATGTATTTTTTTTCGTTTTAAATTCCAAAATAAAAATACGCTTCTACGTTGCTGCGTATGATGTATCAGTCATTAGGGCAATCAAACATAATATTTACATTGATTGCACAACTCTGAGTTTCATGCCAATGCGTTGGGTCTATCAATGTAATGTATTATATATATATATATATATATATATATATATATATATATATATATATATATATATATATATATGGTAAAATCTTTCGTGGCTGTAGAAACGGTTTCATTGACACAATTAGATTCGTGTCGGAGGAACAATTTTCCTTAATATCACTTCTAAAACAAGCAACAAAAATACATATCACCAATAAAAATAAAGTTTATAATATTAAGAAATACTATCGATAAAAATCTATTGAAAACATGCACACACACAAACACACCCAAAACACACGGGCCCACACACATACACACACGGGCACACACACATACACACACGGGCACACACACATACACAAACGCACACACTTAGTAGGCGATAAAGGGAAAATGTGTCTATATGTGTGTAGATCTATATGACAGTTACATTGTTTTCACTCTGTATATGAAATTCCAACACTTGGTCGCATGAAATAAAGGCAGGAACTTAGTTTATACTGTCGCTGCATATAAACAAGTTAGTGGAATATAGTCTCTATCGCTAAACATAATTTTTGTAATACTCGAATAAATACGCGAAAGATGTGTGTAATTAATTGTGAGAGGATTTCAGTTTCGTTTGTATAACAAACGATCGAACAAACACCATGGCCAAAGGTTCCATTAAAGACTAATTAACAAAAAAGAATTGATCATATTTATAATTAATTGTAGGCTCCGGCTTGATCTAAAATTTAGTTTTATTAATAGCAAGCATATTGGCTAAAATATATTTTACAATTTCAAATATTCTTTTTAAGGAAGAAAATATTGTTGATCATATTCTGAAGTTAAGTCTCCAAAATTATCTTACGTCTCGTTCGACGTTGCTGGTTGGTTGATACATATGAATACAGAAATTCAAATATCTGGAGTTTGTTAACGGTTACTATAACAATTATTTCTTATCAATATTCCTATATAAGAAAGAAACATTTAGGCAATATGAAGAGGCAACGAAAAAATATAGCTGTATTTTTACGGCGAAAACTCTGCACGGGATCACGAGTAAATTTTAATCAAAATGAGAAAAAAGAAGATGTTTATAATTTGAATAAGAAAGAATCAGTTAAAATGTTAAGGGCATATAATGAAGAAAGTGATTTTGACACTCACACGGCATATTAGTACCAAAGAGTAAAAAGGGGCGTGTCAGGAAAGGATATACAGAAGGACAGGGGTCAGGATAAAGACATCAGAAGATATCGATTGACATTACAGTTGAATATCTGAAGATTATAGCCATCAGGTAATCAAGTAGGAGGAAGGAAGCTTCACTGTCGGGAAGGGTGAGAGGAGAATCTGTTGTTTCAGAAGAGACGGCTACATTTAATCGTTTCGACAGTGAAAGGGTGGGACCGATATGCCAACCTAGTAGAACGCTTAAATTCATGCATTTGGGGTACCAAAGAAAGCAACTCGTGAGAGAAGTTACCATGAAAATATTTGTAGAAAAGACAGAAGGAATCCACAACATGTCTGTTAAAAAGCGGCTATAGACGAGATCAGGACCTCGCGATGAACACAAGGGTCACCAGACCATGCTGGACTATTCCGTCGTCTTCGGTATGAAGATCCAGCAGCTCAGTTCTTCAGACTAAGAGAAAAACTACCCATAAATAGTATTTCAGTAAAGTGGTGAATTTATTTATGCAGAAACATAGAGTTTTCGAACTGATCAAAGTCGAATACTGAGAACTGGTTCAGATTGTGTGCCACAAGTTCCGCAACCGACTATCCTTGGACTATACTGGCTATTACACATAGTCTTCCCTACTATTTAAATCTTAGCTAGTGCGAGAAGAAAAATGCTTGCGTCCATTTCTCAGCGGTATTGGCGCATATAAATGAAATGAACTCGATTTGAATTCGAACTCGGCTCTGTAATTTCTCGTTCCGAAACGCTATCCATAAACTATTTGTACTTAATCTCTCTCCCCCTATCTCTCCCTCTCTCTCTCTCTATATATATATATATATATATATATATATATATATATATATATATATACTTACGTTGTATGTGGGTGTGTATGACTAAATATATACATATCATTCCCAGTGTGTATTTTAGTTGCTTTTTAATGTATCACGACATATATATGTATGTGCATATAATTATGTTTGCATGAGGTTACTTGCTTATTTGTAACTGTCACCCCAAGTTCGGTGGAGTGTTAGCCCAGCATCGACAATCGCCAAGACCTATGCCCTATCCGCACCCAGCTTGTGTCAGCATCACGACCAGCGAACTTTAGTCGAGGAGTCAGGCGCGTATGTCTTGGTGATGAGTGACCGGTCGAGCGTGCAGATGGTACGGAGAGGCCAACGCCACAGAGTTCGGAGGCAGCGAGGATAAAGGTTGGGCTGGTTGATGCAGCGCATTGACTTGTAAGCGTCAGGGAGTTGAGTGAGAGAGCAAGGAGCGGTGTGTGAGACTTGGACCCCCACGGAGAGATCTCCCACGTATTCATCAGATTCGCGAGAATTCGTCTCCGATTCAATTTCTCTCTCATTATCTCTGGAATGTTTCAACAATTAGTGATACGCGTCCTTACCACTTCGCACACGTAACGCACCCTTTCGCTTACTCGCCGCCCTCCTACAAGGCTCTCCTGCATCTATGCACGACTTTGTCGCCTCTTTCCACACCAAATCACATCCCCTGGCTTACCTATTATGCATGTCCGCCCTGTTGTTTCTTTCTTTGAATGAATGTATTGTCAGTGTTGTAACCGTTCTTGTATGTCTTATGCCCCACCTCTTCTTATTTAGCGTTTTTATCTCTTCGTTTATAAATTTTCACACCAATAATAAAGGATTAACTATTAAGCGTAGGAATACAGTATGCATGGTTACAAGCAAAAGAGACAACTCGAGCAGTTAGCTACATATTGGGGCCATTAAAATTTAAGTACAGAAATTGAACTATTTATGTTGTATAGTAACAAACAACAGGAAAATGATACAGAAATCAGAAGATACATCGAAATAGACAAATGTATAAACAAGCTAAACATTATATATATATATATATATATATATATATATATATGAAGTATGTATATATGGGGTTTCCATGAATATGTATGTTATATATATAAGAAGAAAGCAAAATCTTTAATATTAACCTCAAATATTATTCCATAATTAAACCTAAACTTTAAGTAAGTAACATTACCCAAATAAAAATAATGACAAATTGCATTCATAAATTAGATTAAAAATAATACTAATAAAGATGTTACCTTAACTATTTTTATAATATTAAAAATGTACGATTGGTCGGGTAAACAAACTATTCTAATTTAAAATATTTCTTTTAATATGCTCTCTATAAATGTGTTAATAAATATAGTATTTAACTTATATTAAATCCTTAAAGTATTTGTTTAAAAAATGAAATATTTAAATTGATAGCAAACATCAAATCAATTTTTGTAGACATCTAAATTTCTATCCAGCATTAAAATCTATTCTTTACATGAATTGCTAAAACCCAATTACAGCCTCTTTCCCTTTACTTCCCTCTCCCTCACCCTCCTCTTTCTTTTTCCTTTTTCTTTTCTCCCTACTCCCCTCCCAATTAAACATATCACTTCCGTTAAGTTAACCGTCAAGGTCTGTTCACTCCTCCTTCCCCAATACAAAGTATACTTGAGAGAGATATGAAATTAATCCCTCCCTACACTCTACCATGTCTCTTTAACTATCCCTTTCACACTCTCTGTTAAATTACAAAAACTTACACTTCCCATCAATTTTAATTTCATTTTTCGTTTCATTTCATTTTTGGAAGTGCTATCTGATGATCCGGCGTCCTTTAAAAGGACTCTGGTGAAATAAATTATTATAATGGTACCTTAAAGTGGTCTGTTTTTTTTCTTTTAAATATATATATATATATATATATATATATATATATATATATATATATATGTATGTATATAATTTAAATAAAAACAGACCACTTTAAGGTTCCATGTAATAAATTATTTCACCACAGCCCTTTTAAAAGGACTGCGGATCATCAGACTTTACTTCCAAACAAAAAATGAAAAGAAAATTTACACATTTTTGACGGGCCGTAATAAACATATGTAAATTAACGAAGTGAGGGGGGAGAGAGAGAAGACATGAGTGAGTTAGCAGATATTGACACATTTAAACGTTTTAACTTAACGGAAGTTATATATTGATATCGAAGGTGTAGAGAAGAAAAAATCCATAGAGAGAAAAAGAGAGAAAGAAGTTAAGAGAGAAGATGTCACTAATTTTCTTCGTAAAACAGGCTAGAAATAGATGCTGTTATTTTGATATACTTTGAAAGTGTTATTTTCCGGGTATCATAAAGATTATAATGTTTGATATAAATTTGAATGTCTCTAGACTGTCTGTTTATCCTCCTTAGGTTTACCCATACGGATTACCTAGTTTTTCATATATATATATATATATATATATATATATATATATATATATATATATAGACAGTTTCATTAGAAACAAAGTCTTTTCAGTTGCTATGTAATGTTTAACGTTCTGATTTGATTTTAGATTTAGATTTCAATTTCTAATAAACTATCGAGGACGCACTTTAGAACTTTTCCCCTTATACCAATATACACTAGCATCATTATAGTAAACAATGGCTTTCTAAGACTCCATCACCAAAACGAAGCATTTTCCCTATGGTTACATAGAGACTAATATCTGCTTTATATATATATATATATATATATATATATATATATATATATATATATATATATATATATATATATATTTCAAACCGGACAAATATATACCGTTTTGACCAGAATAAACAGAAAGTTTTTTGTTTTTTATATACTGATCGGACGACCGTTTTACTTCTGATGGAAACTGAACTAATATTTAACTTCATGATTCTTATGCAAATTGGATCTATGTCCAGCGTTTTGATTCTAGGATAAAAACGAACCATTGCCTATATGTTAATCTATTAATTCACCGTGATCTTTGTTGGAGAAATCTTTTGAAAACAATTCAACATAAAATAATCCAAGCGGAGTTGACAGGCCATTAAATTAATCCACTTAACCTCAACTAACCTAACAAAGGTCCACATATTTTGACATTTTTTATTCTTTCAAATTATCTTTTTTCTTGCTTTGTTTTTTGAAATGCTTCTCTTTTGCTATTTTTTTATAAGATAGCATCATCAGATCTTCTAACTCAGAATGGATGATTAATTTGAAGCAATTCATTTTCTTTTTTTTATTCTTTTTTATCTTGTTTTTCTTTTTTCTTAATTCTTTTCTTCTTTTCTATTATTTATTGAGTGTTGGGGGTATCATCATCTTGTCAGGGAATCATTTTAATTGCTTAATTACTATGCCTCCATCCGGGGTCTATATGTAAAAAAATGGCATATTTGGGACGTTTCTTTTATATGGGGATGGTTTTGATGGAAGATATGTTCAATTCCGAAAACAAATTTATGCTTTATAGCTCTGAGATATTGATGCGTTCCGAAATTTTACTCAAATGATTTTCGGTACACTCCTTTACTACAACTGATGCCCTTATCACAACAGTTATAATCGTAGTTTTAATTTTCTACGTTATTATTATTATCATTTTTATTTTCTTTGATTTCTGTCGTTTACACATCTCTTTCCGGGTCCCGCCCAGGGACCTAAGATTAGAAATGGCATCATGAAACTTTCCACTGACAAAAAAAATAAAAAATAAAAATTATATAGATAAAGTCCTTCGTAAAGTGTGGGCTGTACTTGTCAGAACAATTTTTTGTATCTCCTTGAGGCATGGACTTATTATTATTATTATTATTATTATTATTAGTCATACAAAGAACAAAGAGTATCTATTGTAGAAAAAATAGTGTGAGTAACGATAAAGTTTTGGAGAAAATGGAAACAAAAGGAGACAGAGGAAAGCAGCGTGTAGCATACTTGATGAGCTTTAGCAAATGGATTGTAGAACAGGGTTCGGGAGAAATATCAAAAAGACAAAACTTATTAAGTGCTACAATGGACAGGAAGATGTGGAGGGCCATTGTCGCCTATACCCTGAAGGAATAAAAAGCATAAAAGAAGGATCTCCCATATGGCAATGACTACTGGACAATCACCTTAAGGTTGACGAATCATCTAGAAGCGACAAAGACAAATGCTGAGAATGCAATGTGAACGATAATGTGAACGATAATGTCCAAAACTAGTTGAGGACCATAATTTAAATAATAAAACAAAAATATTAATATATAATCAAGGGCATGTGATTTAGTTTGGAAAAAATAATAATCAGTGTGTCTGAAATTTTAATTGTTTAAAATTTTTAATTGTTCAAGGTATACAAAGTCTATATTATTTTAAATGGCTTACATCCTCATTAAAATTACATTTTTAACAGGCATAGGATAAGAAAATATGAAGTGTTTATAAATAAACTCACAGATAAAATGTTATCTCTGAAGGACTGGATGGAAAGGTCTTTAAACTCCGAGCATAAATTCATATAAATGAAATAATATATATATATATATATATTGCAAATTAAGAACTGATGTTGAGAAAATAATTCTCGATGCATTTATAACAGAGTTATTTATATACAATATATTAATTTTTTTTTCTCACCGGTAGCAGTATTCGGAGTTTTACGCACAAACCAAACTTCATGCGCTGAGTTAATTGTTAGCACCTGAAGACTGTGAGTCTTGGAACCGTTGTGGAAATATATATATATATATATATATATATATATATATATATATATATATATATATATATATATATATATATATATATATTTCAGGGCCAACATATAATTTGCTTCAAGATGAAAGCATTCTTATACTATGGGCCACAAAATGATTCAAATTGAGTTTCGTAAAATTTTTAACCGCCTAAGGATTATTAAACCGTCAACAAGTAATCCACGTGGCCACATGAAACTTTCAGTTGCAAAAATATAAGAATCTCATACTCACATACACACACACGTACAAACTTACTTTCATATATATATATATATATATATATATATATATATATATATATATATATATATATATACACACACACACGCATATATATATATTTGACAAAATTTATATATTAAAGTTTGCCGTATTTATGGGTTAACATGCTGAATATCAAGGATAGAGCTTATGTAAATATGTAAGTGAACATTGAAGTCAGCAGCCTAGAGGCGACAATAATACGTTTATCATGAGACAAAATGTCGCCACTGAGTGGCGAATAAAACTAATAGTGATGACTCCAACCTAAATATATGCAATTCAGCTCTGGCTTAGTTTTTAAAATACCCCCCACACCAAATTCCCAATTACTTCTATAACAATCGTTTGAATTTACCCTCCTTCCTCTTTCGTCATATTAATATCTCCTATTCTCCCATTTCCTCCCTCACTCTTGTCTCCTCACTCTTAGAAGGCTTAGAAATG